ATTCGGAGGAGGCCTAGTCTGTGGGATCTTATTGGTCTAGTGGAGGTAATTGGCAGTAGGCGGTCTCTCAAGTACCTGTAAGCTTGTAATTAATGTCCTGTAAGCTTGTAATTAATTCTATGTAATTTTTTCAGAAACTGTCAGCTATTCCTCTGAGTCCATTTTGTGGCCCAGAAACCAAAGGTCAATTTGAAAAATATATTCGCTTTTGCTTCATCAAGGTAAATTCTACAGTCTATTGAACTTACATAATTTCCTCCCCTCCCCCTAATTTAACCCTGAGATTTTAAAATACTGCTACTATTATTTCCACATCAAATTTACCTTGTGTTTTTTCTAAGTCAAAAAATGCTGCTTGGAAACAAAATGCTGTTTTGATGTGAAAGTATTCATTTGAATATGGAAGACTTTTCAGGAGTAGACTGTTGAATGTGGTCATTATCTTACTAGTAAATTTCTATTTTTCGTGACTCCATTTGAGAATGTGCATATTGCTGCTGATTCCTTGAGTAATAGCTGGATCATTGACAACCATGTATTTATCACGAATAAACTGAATTACTGGTTTGTTATAAAGATGACATTATTAATACTATTATTAATATTATTAATTATTAATTATTATTATTATAGTATTAATATTATTAATATTATTAATATTAATACTATAACCAAATCACTCCCCTCTCCCTGCTCTTTAATATCTTACATCATGAATGAGTTGATTTTAACCTTCATGGCATTCTTTCTTGGCAGAAAGACAGCACATTAGATGCGGCAGAAATGATTCTGAAGAATTGGAAGAAACAATGACTTAGAAATAAATCATCCAAAAGGGGAAAAACCCCAAACCAACAAATTATTTTTTTTAAGATTGCAGTATGCTGCCATCTGCTGGATATTTAGCATTAATAATTGAAAAAAATATTGATATTGTTATCCTCCAAGCCAATAGCTTTTTAAAAAAAAAAATTCAGTAGACTTCTAATTTTTAATATTCTTCAGTAAAATATCTAAATATTATTCTAAAGCAGTGTTTCTCAAACTTGGCAACTGTAAGACAACTTTTAGGACTTCAACTCCCTGGCTGGGGAATTCTGGAAGTCCACATGTTTTAAAGTTGCCAACTTTGAGAAACACTTGGATTTTAAGTTACTGTGTTCCATTATACTGGCTGGCAAAAGCTATTCTGGTTTTATTGCATGGCGGATAGTTTCTTTTTGTCTTTCTTCATTCCAAAATGTCAGCATAAACTGGAATTTGGCAATAGAGAATACAGTAAACATTATCTCTGCCTCTTTGTACAAATGCTGAGAAATTTTGTTATGAACACCTGGACAGGATTCCCAGCAAATAGCAGAAGAGACGGCAAAATGGCAAAATATTCATATCTCCAAGTGCCATGCTAACTTTGGTATAGAGCACTCTTTTTTAAACATCTTGTATTGCCGTAAACTAGTTTTTAATCTCTTTTTGTGTTTGAGCAAAGAGTACAGCATATTTTCATGTATTATTTGTTGTATATTTATTCATACATGAAATAGGAATAAATTAGGTTGGCACTAGCATTTGTAAAATAAAGTTCTGTTCAGTGTTTCCCCTAAACAAGTAAAACTGCACCTATACAGTTTAATAGTAAATTGCCAGCCATTCATAAAAATACGGTATGTATGCAGATATAATTCTAATGCATAGATCTAATAATATGATAGAAAGAATGTAAAAGAAATATAATGAATTGTTTTAGAAAAAAGAAGCCATTTTACTTTAGAATCTGAGTTTTTCATCTCCCCATCTTGTGTAAATTAGGTAAGCCCTTGTTTAAGATCTTGTTTAAGTTCATGAAATGAGATGTGTCATCTGTCATAACTGGCTGTTTTCAATGATTACCATTTTGTGTTCTAATATTCTTGGAGAACCTGTTAAGAATTGTCAACTAATTTTATGGAATGGAAAATTGATTTACTTAAGAAATCACTAAAACTGCTTAGTCATAAATCTTACCTGATTGTTTTCATTGATTTTATAAATGTGCAAAAACATAAGAAATCTAAGAAAGAAGTATAACAGATAAGAGTGGATTTCTTAATTTTCTTGTTTAACTAAAGATGAAAAATAACACGACTAAGGAAAAAATTGGGAACATATGGTAAAGTAGTTTCGTAATATTACTATTGTTCTTACATTTGTATTTTGCTTTTTAAAATGTAAACAAACATGCCTAGTACTTCTGCCTATTTCTCTGCAACAACAACGTTGTGAGGTAAGATTGGGCTGAGAATGACGAACCCAAAATCACCCAGCCGGCTTTCATGTCTAAAGTGGGATTAGAACTCATAGTCTCCTGACTTGTAGGCCAGCATCTTTCACAATCGCACCAAACTGGCTGTGTATCATACACAGCATTGTTATCTAGCTCAGTTTGATTGCTAAGGCTTAGCAATTTCCCACATGACAAGATGATTCCCTTGTTAGCCTTCAAGAGGACATGGAAAGCAGATTGTACAGCAGGAACCCCATCAAAAGTATTTACCAATGCCAGCACAGAAGCATATAGACCCATGGTGGCGAACCTGTGGCACGCATAGTCCTCTCTGCGGGCATGCCAGCGGTCGCCCCAGCCCAGCTCCACTGCGCGTATGTGCGCACCTCCCGCTGGCCAGCTGGTCTTCGGGTCTCTGCCACGCATGTGTGGGGGACCGGGTGCATGCATGGGCCGTATGTATGGGAGTGGAGCATATGCATGCTCGCATTGCATTTTGGGGCTCACACAGCGCCCCTACGCCCCATTTTTAGCCCAGAATGCCTCCTGCACCAACCTGGAAGCGGGGCACGGGGGGGGGGGTTGTCGTGCATGCATTGCATTATTGGTACGGGCATGTGGGTGTGCTGTTGCATGTGCACATGTGCGCTGTCAGCACCCAACGACAAAAAGGTTAGTCATCACTGATATAGACTAAGCATGTGGGGAACCATGTGCCACTTTCCAGAGAACTGAATGAGGGGAGGTGTAATCCCCATTATAGGAAGCATCTCTCATTGTACAAGAATCCTCCCTCCTCTGGCTTGATTGTCCTGTTCCTTCTGCTGAGCAACTAGTTGTTGCTTAATTTAGACAGCACATCTGTTCTTTTTATGTCTGTACTTGGAAGTTATTTCCCATGTGCTCTTCTTACAAAATGCACCGGACTGCAGACCTTCCAGAACCACCATAAGCATATGTACA